GTGAGATGAAACAGAACTCCATTAATTTATGTTATTTATGTTATTTGCTGCTTTTAGGATCCTCTTTTTGTCCTTGACCTTTGAGAGTTTGAGTAAGTGTATGCCTTGGGGTAGTCTTATTTGGGTGGAATCTGTTTGGTGTTCTAGACCTTCTCATGCCTGGATATTTAATTCCTTCTCAAGCTTTGGGAAGTTCTCTGTTATTATTTCTTTGAATCTACTTTCTACCCCTTGCCCTTGCTCAGCTCCCTCCTGAACACCCGTGATTCTTAGATTTGGTCTTTTGAGGTAATTTTCTATCTCTTGTAGGCGATGTCCATTCCTTCTCATTCTTTTTTCTCCTCTGTGTATTTTCAAAGAGACAGTCTTCAAGCTTACTGATTCTTTCCTCTGCTTGTTCCATTCTGCTGTTGAGAGCCTCTAATGAGTTCTTCAGTTCAGCAAATGTATTTCTCAGTTCCAAGATTTGTTTGATTATTTCCATCTTTTGTTAAATTTCTCTGATAAATTTCAGAAGTGATTTTCTGTGTTCTTGGTGATCCCTGAGTCTCCATAAAACTGCTATTTTGAATTCTTGGTCAGAGCGCTCACAAACTGTCTTCTCGTTAGGATCACTAGATTTTTGCTTTGTCCTTTTTGAAGAGGTCACAGTTCCCTGTTTGCTGTTGTTTCTTGTGGGCATACATCTGTCTTTGCATTGAAGGATTATTTATTCCCGTTTTCTCTGTCTGGCCTGTTTTGGTTTTTATTGGATATTTTTGCTTAGCAAGTCTTTACTACTAGATCACTGCCTCCTTTTCAGCTCCACATGGCACATTAAGCCCAGGCTCACCTCAACTCCAGTACATGATGGAAGCTTTGCCTGTCCTGAACTGGGAAGGTCCCAAAGGGATTATCCCAGCAGGGTGAGAAGGCTGGTGAGGGGTTTGTGCCCAAGGGACCTGGAAAACATACCTCCTCCAGCGTGCTGCTGCTGAACAGCTGCTCTGATTTGGCATCTCCTATGGCTGTTACAGACCAGTCTCTCCCGGGCTGGGGATGGTAGTTCCCCCTCCTCCATTTGTCACTACCTGTCCTCAGAGATTTCTCTCTTCAGGCAGTCATGCTGCTGCCTGTGGGTTAATGCAAGGACAGGTCTCCCGCCAGGGATTCTAGCATGGTGGGAAAGCTGATTGACCACCTCAGTCTCACTTTTCCCAGTGTAAAAACCGGTGAGTCGGTGATATGGTTTGGCTCTGTGTCCCCAGCCAAATCTCGTCTTGAACTATAATTCCCATAATCCCCGGGAGTCAAGGGAGGGACCAGGTGGGAGGTGATTGGATCATGGGGGTGGTTTCCCCATGCTGTCCTCGTGCTAGTGAGTTCTCACGAGATCTGATGGTTTTGTAAGTGTGTGACAGTTCCTCCTTCACACACACACTCTCTCTCCTGCCACCTTGTGAAGAAGGCACCTGCTTCCCCTTCCATCATGATTGTAAGTTTCCTGAGGCCTCCCCAACCATGCAGAACTGTGAGTCAATTAAAGCTCTTTTCTTTATAAATTACCCAGTCTCAAGCAGTTCTTCATAGCAGTGTACTAATACAGTCAGGGAAAGATTCTCCACTCAACTGTTGCTAGGCAGAATCCGGGGAAGGGGCATCATGGATGCAGAAGTCTGGTTCTCCTACCATCTGCCTGGAGTTTTTTCACTTCTCTGTGGCCCCAGAATCTGTCTCATTCTCTTACTTGAGTCCTGGGTTGTTGCTGGTGAAAATCTCACACTGTATATTTATTTTGGTTTTCTGTTGGGGGTGTGAAGCCAGCTTGATTCTATACCGCCATTTTAAAGCTGAAAATCCTCCAGGGCTAAATCAGAGCAGACCTTTGGCGGAACACTTTCTGTGCATTTGTAAGGACTTTCTATAGTGTGAACTCTCTGATGCTGAATGAACTTAGCGATATGGCTACAGGTTTTCCAACCTTTACTGCATTAATGAGGCCTTTCTGTTGTGAACCTTCTGGCAACAAAGAAAGGTGAGTCCTTTGCTGAATGCTTTCCCACGTCAGCTGCACTCACAAGGCTCAGCACCACAGTGGACTCCCGTGTTCAATGCAGCTGGAGTTGCAGCTAAGAAACTTCCCATACTCACTGCACTCATGAGACCTTTCTCCAGCACTGGGTTCCCCGTCCTCGGGTTCTCTGGTGCTGAACTGTGCATTTGCAGCTCACGGCCCCCTCACATGCCATACTTTCCAGGTGAAAGGTTCCCCCAGCTTCGGTGCTCCCGTGTGGCTCCCCTCACCGTGATGGCCTCTGCTGCTGCTGAAGAGGCCAGTGCTGGGTCCCATCCTTGCCTCACATTAAGGGCTTCCAGGATGTGTGGACTCCACAGCTTTCCACGAGGCCCTGCCCTCGGCCCTACTGCAGTGTTTCTCTCCGCTGTGCTGCTTCTGGGCTGGTTTAAACTGAAGCCAAAGCCTCTCCCACAGGCCTCTCAGGGGTATGCTTTCTGCCCGGGCTGTGCTCTCCGGCACTCAATCAAGGGCAAAATGCTTTTCAAGACTGGGCATTTTCTCTTCACTTCTCCCCATGGAAATGACAATTATTCAGCTTTTGCTCGCACACACTTCCCATCAGCCCTCCTCCTGCCCTCCATTCTCCTAATAGGGTACTATCATAATATGGTTACTGTTTAGTGCTTATATTTTAGGACTATATAAATACTATTCATAACTAAATTATATAGTAGTATTACTGTGGTAACTTTTTCTTTCCTACCCAATTTGTTTTCCTTGGAGTTATGTCCCTTGGTTTCCTAGGTACTTGTCAATAATTCAATCTCAGCTCCTATGTAAACCCTCAATATGTTCAGAGGCAACAGGTATTCTAACAGTTAAGTCATCTTCTCTGGAGCCGACACCAAACCCAACCTGGCTGACTTCTATGCTGAGTGCACGGCTGCCATCCTGGAATCTCCTTTTGCTGTGCTCCTGGGGAGTCACCTTGCTCTTTGCGTTGGATCTCCCATTGCCTTTATGCCATGCTTTCTCCTTTTGGAGTACATTCTCTAGTCCTTTTATTTAAAAAGCTGTGTAAAGGCCGGGCGTGGTGGCTCACACCTGCAATCCCAGCAATTTTGGAGGCCAAGGCGGGCAGATGGCTTGAGTTCAGGAGTTCAACACCAGCCTGGCCAACATGGCAAAATCCTGTCTTGACAAAAAAATCAGCCAGGCATGGTGGCACATGCCTGTGGTCCCAGCTACTTGGGAGGCTCAGGCAGGAGAATCACTTGAGCCTGGGAGGTCAAGGCTGCAGTGAGCAGTGTTTGTGCCACTGCACTCTAGCCTAGGTGACAGAGAGACCCTGTCTCAAAAAAAAATAAAAATAAATAAAAGAGTGTGTGGAATATACATTTTTCAAGAGCCTACAAGTCTTTTGGCATGACTTTTAATCTATTTGGAAATAATCTTCCTTCAGAATTCAAGAAGGCCCACATTCCCTGTTTCCTATGTGGCATCCGAGGACTGCAAAGCTATTGATTCCTAATACTCTGCATGTGTACTGTTCATTCCCTCCAGCAGTTCCCCGGTGTTCTGAAATCTCACACTCACGTGCCTGGATGTGCATACTGATACAGAATGGAAGAAGGCAAGGTGCTTTCCCCTTCCATTGTGTTGGCACTAGGTTCGCTGAGCCCTTGTAATCTGCAAACTTACAGCCTTCATTCTCAGAATTCTTTTATTCGCTGGGATGCATTGAAAGACGTGTGAGGGCATGTCCTGGGCCACGTTATGTATGGATAACTTTAGGTCTTTCCTTTTAGGCTACTGAGATTCCTCAAAGAAGTATCTTTCTGCTTTATTTCTTGCTAGAGGATACGACTGAGCTATGGATTTGAGATACTGAAGGCTGAAAGCGGCATACCTCCTCCGGTCTTTCACTGGTTTGAAGTAGGCACAGTTGCCCAACTGTGTGGAATGGGGAGTCTAATGGCTTCTTAAACAGGCCTCAGCTTCTAGTTTCACCTTATCTCACAACTACTTCCAGAGGTACCTAGAAGTGCCAATTCCAGAGCCTCTGGGAGCTCTGCAAGACAACTCGGACATTCAGATGTTCTCATTTATTTCTTACAATGTAGATTTCTCAGGTGTTTCTAAGGCAACTACCATTCACCTATTTTCTGGAGAGCTTCCCAATTTCGTTGCTATTTTTAATCATCCTAGTGGATTTATGCTCTAAAAAAAAATTCCCTGTCATATCAATGGGATTTCAGGAAGGAGCAATGGTAAACAGTTACATCTAGCTGTACAGGAGGCTGGCAAATGAAGCCTTTATTCTGGGAATCCGAGTGTCCAGCTAAAAACTGTGAGTTGTATTATCACAGATGGAGAGAGTGGATGGTGAATGGAAACTAGCAATCTCTGCCACATAAATCCAGCTAGTTTCAAGGCAAAGAGAGACTGAGACTGTTCGTGATAAAAAGCCTTCTTTGCAGGAGAGTAGGAGAGATGGCAGAGGTTCCGGGACAAGGAATGAAGAGGCAGAACACACAAGGAACCGCTGACAGATGGATGCATGTCTTTATTTAGTTCGTTCATTCCTGGTTCATCCCGAATCTTCACATCTCACCCTCCCACTGTCGAAACAGGTCCCATGTAACAACAGGGGGCCAAAAGCAACAGGCTTGCCCACAGTCTCCATCACCCCCCACCCCACGGAACACTGTGGGGACAATGGCACCTTACTTGAAAGCCATGGGTTTCAAACATTTTTAGGGGCACAACTCTCTTCAAACTGGAAACCACGAGCCACTAAATAAAACAGGCTGTCAGGGAGTTTCAAACTGGGCAACATTTGGGGTACGTCCCTGGAGCCCCAAGCTCCCTCAGAGCAGGTGAAAATTCCTGCTTCAGAGTCCTTCTTTCTATCCAATCACTTGAAACGTTCCATAGAAAGAAGAAAGAAAAAAGAACTCCCTTCTTCTTGAAATGTGCACGCCAAGATTTCACATGACCAACACTTCCACCTGTTGAAATAAACAGTCCACAAAATTAAGGCATTTGAGGGCAATTAGAGGGAAATAAAGCATTTATTAAAGTTACAATGGCATATCAAAAATGTCCATTATGCTTTTGAAGGCTCTTAACTAGGCACAAGGGCAGAAACAGTCATGATCCCGGCCACTGCAGGCAAACACGTGTTGATTACCAAAGCAGAAAGGGAGACAGAGGGCTGGTGGTGAGCATTCTCTTCAGCAGGTCCCCAGGCACCAGGCCCCCTCCAAGTCATGCCTCACATGCCCAACAGCAAAGAGAAGCAGTGGGAGCTGTGCAGACACTGCAGGGCAGGGCAGGGCACTGCCGGCTAAATTACAGCAGCAACTGTATGCACGAAACAGCTTCTTCATAAACACCATTCTCAAACTGGATTTATGCACATTCATACGCTACCTAGTATATCTAAGAGATCTTGAAATCAAAGCAAAATAAAAAAGAGAGACCCGCCTGCATTCCAGGCACTGAGCAATGACATGTCAAGGCAACAGAAGTCCCCCTCCTGCCCCCATTCACTTCTCCATCTCACTGTCTGCTGAGAATTTATAGTATTTATTCCACACATCACTGTGTACTTCAAAATCTGCACATTCCTCTCCGTGGGATTCTCCTGGGATGTGAATCCCACCACCGTGCATCATGTACGCATCTAAACTATTTCATTCCACACTGAGAGACTCGGGTTTGGAACGGGAGGAGGGAAGTGAGGCGTAAGTGAGAAAGGAGGTCATATGGCCCAAACAGATACTTCCAGAGTCCAATCCCAGCTGGCAGGGATCCAGGCCCCTGGAGGCCAGGCCTGCTTGCTGAGTACAGACGGCCAGTGAGGAGGCAGAAGCTGTAGCCCCAGAGCCAGAAGACCCACACTAGTGTCATCGCCACAGGCTCCCAGAGTCCAGGTCAAGGGGCAGTCCTCACCGAGAAGGCACACCAGCTTCCTGTGAGCGTGTCCCATGGATCCAGGGGTGGCTAGAGGCCCATCACCATGGGTGTTTGCACTTCCTAAAACTGCACACAGCGACCTCCAAACTCGTTTTTGGTCGGCAGCAGTGGAAATGCTGCAGTGCTGTCCGCCAGTGTACAGGCTGCTCAATGCTGCAGTGCTGTCCGCCAGTGTACAGGCTGCTCAAGGACCCAAGAGGAATTTCTCACCAATACGTAAACATGCACCACAGCTAGACTGCGGTTCCCTGACTTTGGGATTTCAGAGACAGGCGAACTGAAGAAGAAATTCTGGGGCTGACAAACAGCAACCAACATTTTGTTTTGCAACCAAGAGCATTTCAAAAAGCAAAAATATTGCCCTCTACTTTTACCTTCATTACATAAAAGGACATTTTATCATCCAAATAAGGAAGAAAATAACCTCAAAACAAAAAACAATCCTTTAAGTTGAACAAATGTGACTTCATCAATTATTTACCATGTTGTTCTTATACACCTTACCTGCACAGAGCGCTCTGTCCCCTGTGCTATGCTATGGGCCACAAGGACTCTGGCCCATTGGGGCCCACAGTCCAGCCTGGATCTCCCAGGTCACAGGCTCATCCAGCCCTGTCATCACCTCAAATGTGTTTCCACTAAGAAGAGGGACAAGTCACCAGGACAGCAGTTTACACGCACATGGGGACTGCTTGCATCACACACTGCTTCCCATGTGACCCCATAAAACCCTGCCGGAAAGGCACAGCAGGAAGCCTTGTCCCTGTCTAAAGCGGAGCCGCCTCTGTTAACAGGGACTTGGCCAAGGCCACATGGATGGCAGCGAAGCACAGGCCACACATCTCTCAGACAGACTCTCCCTCAGTTCAGTTCTATGTCTGCTGTATCTTCCTCTCTTTCTCTCAAGAGCTTTTCATTTGAAAAATCAATTCATGGAAAAAGGAAAAAGAAAACTTACTTAAAACAATTGTTCCTTCTCTTTAAAATTACCTGTTTAACAAGTACATTTTAACTAAGTTTTCAAATGCCAAAAGAAAACACAAAAAAACAAGCATTGTTGCCTTAAACACTTTTCTGGAACAAGGCAGAATACAAATAAATAAATAAATATATATATAAATAACGTGGGTGATACAAAGAGTCACAGAATGTGGGTGATATTGATGGGTTTCTCTAAAACCCCTCACCCGGGACTCCAAAGCTGAATCCTCAGAGGTGTCAGCGCTGTCCCCACTCCACCATGGCCCAGCCCAGCCCATCTGTTGACAGCAGCCAAGGCCCAGGGCCCAGGACTCTGTTCCACGGCCAGCAGCTGCCCTGGCAGTGGTGACAGTCAGATGCTCCTGGGATGCAACCAGAGGCAACCTTCAGGCTCCTTTCCCCTGGCCACCGAGCCCCTCTCCTGGGGAGCACTCCGGGCCAGCCAGGCAGCAGCCTCACTGAGACGGGACTTGGGTGCCCCAGGGCCTAGGAAGGTGATTTCCTAACGTGCTGAGGTGGAAAGTGCTACTCTTTCCTATTCTGTATTCTGTCCTTGCCAACAGAAGAAAAAGGGAGCTTTAGTGAAGGGAGTGTCACTAAAACCAGGAGGAATGACCTTAGCTACCCACCCTGTTTTCAGATTCATATTTGGCAGCTTTGAAACAAGACACTGAACCTCCAAATTGTTTAGATTCTGAAAAACTTGGCAAAGGCCGGCTTGAACAAAGAGGAAGTTGAACATGTCCTCTGCAAATGAAAAGCTGAGACCCTAGACACCTGCAGGACAGCCAGGCCAGGCCACAGGCCAGGGAAGGGCTGCAAGAGGCCCCCTCCTCCAGCTCATTCTCTCCCCAGACACATCATTCCCTGGCCGGGTCTGAGTGAGGTTCCTCTGCAAGGATTCAGTCCATTCCTCCTAGAGAGACCAGGGGCAGTGACCTCGTCCCTCCAAAACAGACACTGGCTGTGCAAAGGAGCGTGACGCCCACGCTACCACACCTGGGTCCTTGCCTCTGTGCAGCCTGAAGGTCACACCAGCGCACTCATGCATGGGACTCCCACAAGGCAGCATTCCCAGGTGCCACTTCCCAAAAGTTCCAAGAACTGAGCCACCTCCTGCACCAGGCAGGGCTGGGGAGGCCTCATCCTTAACAGGCCCCTGCAGGAAGCACTCAGTAGAGCAGACAGAGCATGTCATGTGTCTACAACACGGCTCACCTCGAGAAAAGTCACCCTCCTCTCCTACACTGAGCCCAAAGGGTGGCAGGAAGAAGAGACTCGAGGTGGGAGGAGCTAAATACTAAGCCAGTGAAGAGCCAGAGTGCAGGGAGCTAACAAGCCTCCCTGAAAGCCCCTATCAGCCTACCAGGGTGATGAGCCACTGCCTACGCCCTCCAGTGACAAGGCCCAGCCCACTGTGGTGGCTCCAACTTCCATATCATCATCCTTAACTCCCTATAGCGCCTGCCCCAGCCACAGCCCAATTTCTGTCCCAGTCCCGCTTTGGGTGCCACAGAGAACATGCCCACTCCCTCCCCCAGGCTGAAGCCCCCACAGCACCTGGCCGCGGCTGTCCTGGCCCTCCCCCGCCACTCACCTGCGGATCCTCTCCTATCTGGGGAAGACCCTCCTGGCTTCAGCAGTACCCAATCCCAAGCTCCCCTCGGGAACAGCACACAGCCCACATTTACACAACCATCGCAGCTTCTAACAGTGTCACCTCAGCTGAGGAAACACCTCCATTTACCCCTCTGAATCCCCTGAGGACTGTTCTTCCCTTCGGAACTGCATCTGCACACGCACAGGTCAGCGGGGGCGACCCGCAGAGCCCATTTGTGACACAGGGGGCTGGGGTCTAGAATTCTATCCTCAGGCTGTAGAACGCAGTAATGGCCAGACACTGCCTGCCGGCGAAGAGACGCAGCGGTGCTACTAAGTAAATAAAATGATACCGTTGTTCAATTTTTACAAATTGGAATTCTCTTATTACAGAAAATCTAAACACAGATTTGAAATCTGCTCCTTCCTAAATCTATCTGAAGTCTAGAATCACCATGGATCCACACAATGGTCCTCATGGGCTTCAAATGATGACATGTGATTCACTGGAAACAGCAGCAACCTGGGAGGGCTCTGAGGCTGCAGCCACCAGCCCACCTGCCAGTGACCCTCAAGCTGGCTGTGCAGCCTTGGGTGAGGGGAAGCCCCACCCACGCAGCCAAAGGTATCAGCAGTGATCACCCAGGCCATGTCTCTCCGGGGAAAGACTTCTGGCCTCACTGCCATCCCCTTGCAGAGATTCTAGAAGCAGCTACCAAGACAAAAGAGCAATCAACCAACCGCCAGATGTTTTGTCCACTGGACAGCATGCACCTGGAGGCTCAGAACCACCCAGAGGACTTGCTGCATTTTTCACTTTCTGGTATGTGTGGGGGATAGAAGACAGCGCCTCGGGCATTTCCTGGCCTGTTAGAACTGGCAGTGAATGCTGTTGGAACGGTCCTTGGTCCCAAGGAACGCAGTCATTTCCTGGGGAGTTTGGTGTGGGCCTCCTAAAATCAATCACTGGACGCTCCCTAAGGTGAAGTGGCAGAAAAATCATGACACCTGATGAGAGGCACAGAAGGTATTGGAACAGGTGCTGTGCAGCCAGGAAACCACCCTTGAATGAAGACAATCGCTAGGAGACCTCCACCACAAAGACAGAATACTGAAGTGGCAAGGAAGGGGCATGTATGACAAGCATGTGTTACCCCAGGAGCGGGGAAAAACCCGCAAGCTCATGTCTGCATTTCTGTCCTCTACTTTGCTTACAAAACTCCCTTTTCATTGAGATACTAGAAGGCTTTAATCGAACAATCAAATTGAGAAGTAGAAAAATAAAGAGAAGCACAGTTCCAGAAGTGCTAGGAGTCCTCCCTACAGGGAAATTCGTAGGCCTCCAACCTCAGTCCCTACATGTACACATTCCATGGCCCGTTACATTAATATGCAACTGAAAATCCAGAAAAGAGAATTTGGGAAAAACAATAATAACTTTTGTATGAGCCTCTCAGCTGACAATGACCCAAGGACTGTTCGGCGGCCCAGGCACCTGAGGAGCAATGACAGTCCACGACGACACCTTCAGTAGCAACAGCCATCAGGATACCACCAGCAGCACAGCACTCAGGGTTTGGTGTCCACCTTCTCTGCAGATCACCTTCTCCCTTGCTGGAATCAACTGCAGCACTTGAAGTCTACTCATGAAGTAGAAACTTCTTTATGGGGTCTGGCAGAGGCAGCGAAGGAATCAGATGAAGCCGGTATTTGCCAAGAGCTCTTCTCACAGCCACACGGCACAGACACAGCAAGGTTCTGGGAACACCTGGAGGCCGTGGGAAGAAAGAGAGGGATAGAGGAAGGTTCATTCTATCCTAGCTCTAGAGAGCAAAGGCAGCCAGGACTGGCAGCCAGAAGTGCACAAATGCTCACTACCAACTTCAAAATGCTCAGCGAAACACAAAGTGATGGCTTTTCCTGATGGATGAGGAGGGCAGGCCCAAGGGCAGAAGGTCTCATTATCTGCTCCTTCTGTCGGTGGAAGGAGCCAAACCTTTCCAGCCTGGTTAACCCAGGGCATCTGCTCCCTGGGTCACAACTTGACCATGTTTAATGCACTAGAGAAAGAAATCAGAGTGGACCACTGAAGGCCCCAGCAGGTGCAGGCCGCTGACGCCCAGTCTCTGTCAGCCTCTTCCCTTACTCAATCCCTGAAGCGCCACCAGAGCCTGGGGAACACAGGCCAAGCGGTGCTTGAGGGGCACAGGCTGACAACTTTGCCCCCAGTGAAAAGAGCGCAGCCAAGTTCTGTCTCGATTAGCGAGGAAGCTGAGGAGTGGAATGGTCATAAATGCAAGCTGCTTTTTCTATCAGTATAGTTCCCAGCTGACCACTCATTAACTATTTGCGGGAAGGCTACACAGGAGCATGCTTTAATCACTGGTTTAGGGAAACCCAGTAACAAAAACACAATGAATTTCAAGTCCTTTGAGAGGCACGGAGAAGGAAGAGGTTATCAACTTGGATGTCTCAAGACCCAGACTGGGAGCGGTGGGAGGGGCTGACACGTGGGCAGGAAGTCAAAGACGACACATGAGATCAATGTCTGAATCCCACAGAGAGCCTCAGACAACAAGACCTAGCTACGGATCGATTCCAAGCTCTCGTGTGATTAATGCATTAATCGCGAACAAAATCTTTGTTCATAAATAAGCAGACTAGGAACTTCATTGTAACAAAACTTAGGCTTATCACACAGTCCTAAATAGCGAAACTTCAGTGGAATTGAAAGGAGAGTGAGGAACCCTAGAAAGCCCCGCTTGCAATTTGTTTTAAGGGCTCACTTAAAAACCAGCATAAAAGAAGTCACTGTCTGTAAGAATCTGGGGCCACAAATTAGAGCAAAAGGATAAAGAGAATATAACTTTAGACTAGGGCAGTGGCTCATGCCTGTAATCCCAGCACTTTGGGAGGCTGAGGCAGGCAGATTACTTGAGTCCAGGAGTTCAACACAAGCCTGGGCAACACAGCAAAACATCATCTCTATGAAAAATACAAAAATTAGCTGGGCATGGTGTGCACCTACAGTCCCAGCTACTTGGGAGGCTGAGATGGGAGGATCGCGAGAGCCCAGGAGGTCATGGTTACATGGTTGTGATCGCGCCACTGTACTCCAGCCTGGGTGACAGAGCAAGACCCTGTCTCAAAAAAAAAAAAAAAAAAAAGAGAGAGAGAGAGAGCGCAGCATAATTCAAGGAGTTCTGACAATACACATGTACTTTTAGAGATTCCCTGATACCAGTTCTTGGTATTCAGGAATTTAAAAGGAGAAGATCAATCTGAACAACCATCTGGAAAACTGCGAGTGCTAACTGAAGATTCTGGCCAAGTGCTCAGTTGGAGGTTTTTGTTTTTTGTTTATTGCTACATCTTGATTCATTCAATCAACCCAGCCCACAAGTCAGAGCCGAACTCAAGCCACTTACTTCTGGCCTCTTTAAAGACCTGCAAGGCCTCAGGGTCCACCTTTCTTCTTCCTCTCGACTCTGGGCCCAATGATTCCCACTTCACTAGATTCAGGTTGGCTCCAAACTCCACCAGCAGGCTCACGAAGGCTGCCTCACAGCCGTGACGCAGAACAGCATCCATGACGCACCCAGGGGAGCCCCTGTAGAATCCCTGTGTGTTGACAGGACCATTGCAGTTGAAGTCAGGGTTCGCTCCTGCCAGGAGGAGCAGCCGGAAGCACTGGAGGTTGTGGTAGGCTGCGCTGATGTACAAGGGGCAGACCACCAAGGAAGTGAGCCGCCGGGAGAATCGGGGCTGGATGTCAGGAGTCAGGTGGTGGTTGACGTCAACATCAGCCCCATACCTGCAGGGAAGAAAGGGAAAGTCAGACTGTGCAGGGGACTGACCACAGCCCATAGATCCCACAGATCCCACAGCCACCCTGAGCAGAAGGCCTTGATTCAGTGACACCAGCTGCTACAGGAGACTCCACAGATCAGATAGCTTCATTACGTCCTGCAAGATAAGGTAGAGGAAAGAACTTGGAATCCCCGCACATACAAAAATTCCTAAGGGAAGTCCTTCAAACCTTTAAAGGTCCAATAATCCCAAGGCTATTTAAACTATTTCAGAGCAAAGACAAAGAAGAGAAACTTACAAATTCATGTGATGAAATTGGCACAATAACCCCAAAACCGGACAACGGCCAAAGCATAAGAAAAACTCCCAGCTAATTTCATTTATGAGTATCAACTTTTAAATCTTCAATAAAATTTTAGCCGAAGAGAATCCTTAAGTATATTAAGAAAGCAACATACCATGACCTCATGGGAGTTATCCCAAGAATGCACAGGTAGCTCCAATATTAGAAACTGTATTAATATAATCCATTGTAAAATGAGGCTGAGGGGAAAATCCTCTGATTATCTCTGCAGATGCAAGGAAAAAAAAAAAAAAAAAAGGTGGGCATATGACAAAACTCAAGAGCTATGCATGTTTAAAAATGCTCAATAAAACAGAAAGTGATGGCTTTTCTTTAACATGGTAAAATATACTCCCTCGGGCCAGAAGTCAGCATCTCATTTAACAGGGAAAGGCTTGAAGCACTCTGGCTAAAGCTGGAGCAAGACAGCCTCCTGCTTTCCAGCCTCCTATTGAACACTGGTGTTAAAGGTACGCCGTGCAATCAGGCAAGAGAACGAAATTAAACGCATAAAACTGGAAAATAAGAGGTAAAAATTTCCTATTTTCAGAGGATACAATGTGTCTGAAAAGCCCTAAATAATATGGAAAAACAATTAACAAGCAATGAGAGAAATGATTGAAGTAGCAGGTTGTCAAACCAATAGACTTCATATAAAAAGTAGAAGGGAAAATTCCATTTATGATAGCAAAATAAATTTTACAATGACATATCTAAGCATAAACTTAACAATAAATGTCTAAAATTTGCATAAGGAAAATGATAAACTACTACTTAAAGTCAACAAAAGTAGACCTAAGAGAATGGAAAGACATAGCACAGTACTGATTAAGACTCAACATTAAGAATTCTCCCTAAATTTATTTTATAAATGAAAATGTCATTACTAGAACTAAGTAAGTTGATTACAAACATAAATAAATAAAAGTAGCATCCCTGAAGCTACATTAGTTGATTTATAAAGTTCATCTGTAAGATCAAAGAAGATGAAAAAGTCAAGCAGTAAAGGGGGCAGGGGTGAGAGGTAGCCACACCATAAGTGAAGTTTATTATAAAGGCTAAAAATCAAACTGTGGTATTGGTAAGTGTTGCGGGAAGTCAGGGACCCTGAACGGAGAGACTGGCTGAAGTCGCAGCAGAAGAACATAAATTGTGAGGATTTCATGGACATTTATTAGTTCCCCAATTTAATATGTTATAATTTCTTATGCCTGTCTTTACTGCAATCTCTGAACATAAATTGTGAAGATTTCATGGACACTTATCACTTCCCCAATCAATACCCTTGTGATTTCCTATGCCTGTCTTTACTTTAATCTCTTAATCCCGTCATCTTCCGAGGAGGATGTATGTTGCCTCAGGACCGTGTGATGATTGCGTTAACTGTACAAATTGTTTATAGAGCATGTGTGCTTGAACAATATGAAATCTGGGCACCTTGAAAAAAGGAACAGGATAACAGCAATGTTCAGGGAATGAGGGAGATGGCCTTGGACCCTGACTGCCTGTGAGCCGGAGGGAACAGAGCCATATTTCTCTTCTTTCAGAAGCAAATAGGAGAAATATCACTGAATTCTTTTTCTCAGCAAGGAACATCCCTGAGAAAGAGAATGTGCCCTGAGGGTAGGTCTATGAACAGCCCCCTTAGAGGCGTCCGTGTTTTACAGTCGAAGCCGAAGGGATGAAATAAGCCCCGGTCTCCTGTAGCGCTCCCAGGCTTATTAGGAGGGGGAAATTCCCGCCTAATAAATTTTGGTCAGACAGGTTGTCTGCTCTCAAACCCTGTCTCATGATAAGATGTTATCAATGACAATGCTTGCCGAAACTTCATTAGCAATTTTAATTTTGCCCCATCCTGTGGTCTTGTGATCTCACCCTGCCTCCATTTGCTTTGTGATATTTTATTACCTTGTGAAGTATGTGATCTCTGTGACCCACACCCCATTCATGCACTCCCTCCCCTTTTGAAAATCGCTAATAAAAACTTGCTGGTTTTACGGCTCTGGGAGCATCACAGAACCTACTGACATGTGATGTCTCCCCCGGACACCCAGCTTTAAAATTTCTCTCTCTTTCTCTTTCCCTTTACTTCTCAAACCAGTCGAGATGCTTAGGGAATAGAAAAGAACCTACATTAACCATCGGGGGCGGGCTCCCCTGATAGGTATGTGAACAAAATGGCAGAATGATGGAACTTTAAGAAAAATCTCAAAATGGGCCAAATTGCATATAGAAATTTCATATATGATAAAGGCAGCATCTCAAATAAGGGAGAGTGTAGACGTTTTACTGTTTTTTGGGGTAACTGGACATCCATATGGAAAAAGGTAAAAGTATATCCATTCACCATAGCATATACTGGAATAAATTCCAAACTGACCATAACTTAAAATGTAAAATATGAAACCATGCAAAAACTAGGAAAAAAACTCCAAGTAAAATTTGCCTAATTCTGACACAAAATCCACAAAGAAAATGCTTTTAACATGAAAATTTTTAAAACAAGAACTCTTGCATAGCATAAGAATGACAAAACAACATAAGCAAAAGTAAACCAAGCAATGAAAAACTGGGGAAAAATGTTACAAAGGGGTTAATATCCTTAACATATAAAGAGCTTCTAAAAGAAAAAGACCAACAGCCCTACAGAAAAATTAAGAGAGATGGGGTCGGGCGTGGTGGCTCACACCTGTAATCCCAGCACTTTGGGAGGCCGAGGCGGGCGGATCATCTGAAGTCAAGAGTTCAAGACCGGCCTGGCCAACATGATGAAACCCCATCTCTACTAAAAATACAAAAATTAGCCAGGCGTGGGCGTGCCTGTAATCCCAGCCACTCAGGAGGCTGAGGCAGAGGAATTGCTTCAACTCGGGAGGCAGAGATTGCAGTGAGTTGAGATGGTGCCATTGCACTCCAGCCTGGGCAACAGAGCAAGACTTCGTCTCAAAAATAAATAAATAAAAATAAAAATAAAAAAATTAGAGAGATGGACAGCTACAAATGGCTCTTAGCCACATGAAAAGACGCTCAGCCTCACTCGGAACAGAAATGCAAACTAAAACTATTCTGAGATATCACTTCTCACTTATCAGATTGGGAAAAATCCAAAAATTTATTGACCAGGCTTTTAGGAAACAGGAAATCTCATTCATTGTTTGAGCAATGGAAAGTGAACTTTCCTCCCGTGGAGGGGGAAATCTGTCAATCGCTAGTAAAATTACATATGCATTTACCCTTCGACCCATCAATCACACTTCTCGGAATCTATTTCCAAAATACATCTGCAAAACTATGAAAAGATATATGCACAAGGCAATTCATTAAAGCACTATCCATAACAGCTGGAGACAGTACACCATCCATGTGTCCACTAACGGGACTGGCTGAATGAACCTGCAGCTCATCTGCACTATGCAGCCCTGTGCAGCTCTGAAAAGGAGGAGGGTCGCTGTACACTGCTCCGGAACGGCCTCCGAGCACAGGAAGAGGGAAAGGAAGCAGCACAGTGAAAGCGTACAGTCCACTACTGTTTCTATGGGGGAGGAGGTTGCAGTGTGCTTATGGTAAACCATGGAACTTTTTAAATGGCTATCTACTAGGGAGGGAGAGAACAGGATCAAGGAGACAAGGACACAAGCTAGATTTCCAAAAATTTATACCATGGCCAAGCATGGTAGCTCATGCCTGTAATCCCAATGCTTTGGGAGGCCAAGGCAGGCAGATCACTTGAGGCCAGGAGTTCCAGACCAGCTTGGTCAACATGACAAAACCCAGTCTCTACTAAAAATACAAAAAAGAAGAAAGAAAAAGAGCTGAGCGTCATGCATACACCTGTAGTCCCAGCTACTTGGGAGGCTAAGGCATGTGAATAACCTGAACCCAGGAGGCAGAGGCTGCAGGAAGCCAAGATTGTGCCACTGCATTACAGCCTGGAAAACAGAGCGAGACTGTCTCAAAAAAAAAAAAAAAAAAATTATACCTTGTTTTACAATTTGACTTTGGAACCACATAAATTTTTTATGCTGTAAAACAAAATTAAGTAAAAAGTAATCCTTAAAAACTGAAAGCAGCAGGATGTGGTGGCTCATGTCTATAATCGCAGCACTTTGGGAGGCCGAAGCAGGCAGATCACTGGAGATCTGGAGTTCGAGACCAGCCTGACCAACATGGCAAAACCCTGTCTCTACTAAAAATACAAAAATTAGCTGAGCGTGGTGGCAGGCACCTGAAATCTCAGCTACTCAGGAGGCTGAGGCAGAAGAATCGCTGGAACCTGGGGGGCAGAGGTTGCAGTAAGCCGAGATCGTGCCACTTCTCTAGCCTGGGTGACAGAGCAAGACCCCGTCTCAAAAAAAAAGAAACACATGAACTCAATCAGATATCCAGCTGGCGCCATGATGTGCTGCCCACTAGGACATCTTTCTTTTCAGGCACACTAAACATCCAGACTCCCATGATTAGCACAGACCACTCCCAGCATCAGGTTCACCTGGAAGGCCCCAGGCCAGGATGCACAGCTTGCCGGCAGGGCAGCGTCACACAGCTCTTCACATGGGCATGCACACAGCCATGAGTGAGGTAACCCCTAGGCTGCCCCTCCTGATCCCCACTGACAGCCCGATGGAGGAAACAAAACTCACATAGGGCAGGTGCAGGAGCCA